GACAAAGTATAAAGCAGTTGTGTAAATTTTCATTTCAACGTTTAATTTCGTCAATATTTGTGCTTGTAGGCAGTTAAATACGAGTACAAAGTATCTTAAACTTTTCCTCAAAAATAACAAAGCAGGAAAAATTTCGAGATGATTATCACTGAATGTCCTTACTATTGTATGACACACAAATACACAATGGTAGTAGAGGCAATGATACTAACTATCTTACACTAGAAGTAGAGTATTCTAAATTTTTAAAGAACATCACAATTTAGCAATATTATAAGTAATTTGTTAATGAACTTATCATGGTACTTAATTTATGTAATTACCATTACTTTTAAGTGGCACTTGAAAGATACTTAATCCTTGCTAATGTCATTTAACTAATCTAAAACTCGTTTTTTGCAATACTTAGGTTCATGTAATTTATCATTTAATTAATGTAAGTTGTGAAATTAGTGTATTTTGTTGTATACTCAATTACTTTTAATGTTTATAAAAAAATATACAACTTAGTTATTTTTTTCATTACAAATTAAATCATGAACGTTTTCAACTTGATAATGAGATTAAAATATTTAAAAGGTCTTTGTCAAAAGCTGTTTCTTTCACCAAAAATTTTAAAGTTTTACCACCTAGAGTCATAGGAACCCTAGAGTGAGTTCATAAGGAACCCTTGAATATTACTTACGTCATCCACACTAGCATCTAAGGTGCTGTACGGGATCGGTTGCCAGTCCAGTACAGGATTCCACCTCTGAGGCTGCAGGGGAGGGTACATAGCCGCCAACGCAGTTAGCGCAGTCATCTTCGTCCGCGCGTAGTCTGTGGTCCGGATGACTATCTCATCGGGGATATACAGGTCCGATATAAACTTGTGGTAGCGACGCCTCAGGTACTGGCCAACGAGGTAACCGCGCTGTTTTCCTTTCTGTCACAAAAAGAAGGTAAAAGTTAGCTTCCTTCTTAAAAATCTTGTAAATCCCAGGAGACCTCTCAACAGTGGCAGATTTTTTCTATATAGCGGTTTTTCGCAGTTTTGTCCTTGAACCGGTATTAGCCACAGATGCAGAGCCTTCTTTAACTAATTCTACATGTGCATAGACTTGTCGAGAGCCTAATTAATGCTCAGTTTCCTTCTTTATATCCTCAAGTTCAGACAGCAATGCAGGTGCGCTTAAAAATCCCATGTATTATTTCAAAGTCATTTTAAACTTAGTAGGTCATATGAAGAATTTATAAAATAAAGAGAAAATGAAGAAAACTAACATGGCGCTTCTTTGACCTTGCTATAAATGAAACAATGTTGTTTTAAACATATCAAGTTGTAATCTACATACGAGTTCATGTTCAACGGGTACGTACAAGCGTGGTAAATGGATTATGGTGACAGCCTTACCGCTAGTGATACGTTTACTACGATAATTGCCATGTCTTCGGTTAAGGGCAGGGTTTTGAAAAAAAAATTACCTTATATTATTTAGTTAAGATTATTGGGGTTACATTGTATGTTACTACTTAAATACAACTACTTTCACTGTGAGGTCAATATTTGAAAATTATAAAACATGGTTCGTTCGTTCATATCATCCAAACAACGTCCATAGCTGAACAAAAGCCTCTCTCAAGGATTTCCGCAACAACACTCATGTTTAAGGCAAATTATGGGTAGATTAATTTGATGGATATCTAAGTACATGAAAAGGAAAGTAGATATATTTACTCACATTAGTTAGCGCCTTCATGCCATATGGGAAGAAGACATCCTTGTATTTGCTATCAGTAGAGTACAGCTCCAATTCCTCTTCGTCGGGGGTTCGGTCGCCATGCCTGAATATCTGTAAAGAAATAATAAGTTGGGAACCATTTTGGTACTAAACCTGTTCTTTAATTTGTAATTTAAATATTTACAGGTAGACAAAAATTAAAAAAAAGTTTTCGAAAGCTAAAGATAAGATTTTATTAGACAAAATCCCAACTAATATTATAAATGCGAAAGTAACTCTGTCTGTCTGTCTGTCTGTTACGCTTTCCCGCTTATGCCTCGCAACCGATTTTGATGAAATTTGGCATAGAGATAGTTTGAGTCCCGGGAAAGAACATAGGATAGTTTTTATCCCGGTTTTTGAAACAGGGACGCGCGCGATAAAGTTTTTCTGTGACAGACAAAATTCCACGCGGGCGAAGCCGCGGGCGGAAAGCTAGTAACAAGATAATCCAGATAGTAAAACGTAAGACAAAACAATGTTAGAAAGCAATACTCTAAATAGGTATGTAAACGCTCATAACAAATAATACGTATAGGAAATTCTTTTATTGTGCGTGTCATTAACACTATTATGACTTCATTAATTTCAATAGTAGCGATAAGATCTTTACTCAAACGTAAGAACTACGGTTCCAACTAGAAATCTTTCAGGATTTCCTGAAAACGTATTTACCTACAAACAATAGAAATTGATAACAATTCAAGATCATTGCTACACAAACAAACATAACAATGATATTTTATATGAAGATTTGCAAGCACACAAGGTATGTTACAGATAGTTGACCCGTGATCCTCAGTAATAAATGATCCGCGATTTGAACAGGAAGACGGGTTCACGTATGTCATGCGTGAGCGAAAGAAAGAAGGATTTTTCGAATATTGGACCTCTTTTAAAGGAATAAGAAACAGAACAGTAATAATTACAGAAAGTACTATTTAAACAGGGATAACTTTAAAAATAATCTTACACGGTGTAATCAGCTGTGTCGCTTATGTGTGATGTCCAGATAAAAATTCTTTCAATCAACAAAAACCATAAGGTCCTGATGCTGGTTTCATTGGACTTTTAAAAGTGAACTCGACCACGGACGATAATAACACGAAAAAAAAAAACTAAGCCCTACTAAAAGCCTGAAGCACTATTGTAAAGTAACATGTAATAAATCCGCTAACTGAAAAGCTTAAAACGTAAATAAACCACATACACGACATGTCAAACACAAGTCATTCAGCCGAAAACAATATCAAAACCGTTCATCTGTAACGTACCACAAAAGCTAGCACCAAATCAGTATCAGCCAGTTCATCTGTCGTCTCCACTTCATTGCTGGGTTCCACCACCTGCCTCGAAGATAGATCCTCACCACACACGAATCCCAGAACCACCAACAACCAAATCGCGAACTTCATTCTGAATTCGAATTTTCCCGCCACGCGAACGCTCTTATCGACAGTCCGCGCGTTCACGGGCCGATTTCGACTGCAATAAACATAGCCTCTGCTCCATTTATATACAGATACATAGAATAATACCACTCAAGGGGGTCGGGCTCGGATCGCTTCCACACAAACGCCCGCGATCCGTCGTCGGTGTTCCGCGAACTTGATTGATCCATTATGTTGTACAGTACGTTCGATGAAAAAAGAAATTAACTATAAAATTGGATTTTAATTGTTTTTTTAGATAATCCCATTTAGTTAAAATTGAGGAAAAGGCGGTAAACCACCGTGATGCTGCGATTTATTAATAGTTTAGAATCTACCATAAACAGTTTTTTCATTATGATTAATTAAATTGATCGTTAAAACAAATAACCCTCCTGGCGCAGTCGGGTAAAATCAAATAAGCAATTAATTAGCAATTATTTTGGTATAGTGGTTTAATCCGTGCCCTTTACAATTTTGTAATTGTAAGATTTGATTTAAATCGACTGAACAGTTTCAGTGATCTATATTTACTCTGATTATTAGGTATACATAATATTTAGTTTAAAAATATTTATGTGTTAGCTTTCCGCCCGCGGGGATAAAAACTATTCTATGTCCTTTCCCCGGGACTCAAACTATCTCTATACCAAATTTCATCAAAATCGGTTCAGTGGTTTAGGCGTGAAAGCAAGACAGACAGAGTTACTTTCGCATTTTAGTATAGATGTGTAAAAAGACTAGATTGTTGCTAGTCTCCAATTAGCTTAGTAGAAAAAATACTTTCAGTGGAACATCTCCTTTTTTTAAGCCGGTAAAAAATACCATACACTGATTTCGGTTGGGGAGTTGTTAATAACACCATAATAACATGGTATTATTGTACACAGTAATAAGTATAATAAAAGGATTATTACCACGTGCGCATCTACTTTACATTACAAGTAAATTATTGGAAATAATAAGCTTAATCGCATTAGCGTTATTTACATCAATTGTGATTCATCTGAACATGTTAATAACACAAACCTAATTAATTTATTTAATCGGTTTTGTCATCTTTATACTCAAATATTAAGTTGAAATCAGGGCCAGGACTACCTAAATGATTTATAATAAAAGGATTATTAACACGTGCACATTTACTTTACAAGTGAATTATTGCATTAGCGTTAATTACATCAATTGTGTTTCATTTGTACATGTTATTAACACAAACCTAATTAACCCATTTAGACCGATAATTATTTTTGTAAATAAAAATTGATTTTTCAGCAAAAACTTACAAAGGGAAGCCTAAAAATCATGAAAAAAATATATATAAATAGGCCGTGGGGAGCCCGTACCATATAGGGTACAGTAGGTCTATAAGCAAGCAAAACATAGTTGTTGTTCAAAGAAGATTTTTATTTATTTTTGTATGATATAAAATAAAAATAAAATCATATAATCACTAGTATCACACTTGGCATATCTTGTAAGACGTTTTCTGTGATACTAACCACATTTGGTTCTTTTTTCCTACCTTCTCTGAAGTTAATGAGGATAGCTGAAGAAGATCTGGCTTCTTCTGATTTCAAACCTAATTAAATAAATAGTTTTTGTCACCTTTATACTCAATTTGTAAGTTGAAATCAGGGCCAGGACTAAATGACCTATAGTGATTTTTGTTTTTCAATCTTAAAGCAATGAGATGCAAGCGCGGCATTTATTATATCAAATACTTGAGGACTTACAGCTTGACAGTTTCAGTGTCAAATGCAATGAAATGAATGAAAGAAAGTTAAAAAACTGAATGATTTTGTTCCAGGAATGACAGACGTCCATTACAATGAGCAGGCACTCCTGGATCAGCTGATGATATGCACGGAGTACGTAGACAAGGCTGAGAGATACGAACTCCTTGGACCGTTGTACCGGCTTATCATCCCAATCTACGAGCGAAGGAAAGATTACCAGGCGCTGCTCGCTTGCTACCAGCATCTCACGAAAGCCTATGCCAAAGTTATAGAAGTAACAAACTCTGGAAAACGACTGCTGGGCAGGTTTTATCGCGTCGCGTTCTTTGGAAAAGCCCACTTTGGGGAAGACGAAGAAGGCGTAGAGTTTATTTATAAAGAGCCAAAGGTCACGTCTCTCAGTGAGATCTCGGAGAAATTGCAGACGTTCTATGAGGAGAAGTTCGGCCCTGGACATGTCAAGATGATAATGGATTCTGCCCCAGTAAGTATCCTAATTTAGTTAATCGTGAATCCGCTTTAGTTCTAGCCGAAAGACAGGACTTGGATAAAACTTTTCCTTGCTCAAATAAACAAACAATAGCGGAAAATCCCCAGTTAAACTAAAAATACAATTAAATTTCTCTTTTTGACTTCTAAACGTAAATAAAGTTAATTATTGTAACATTAAGTTTTATTTGTACACACTAAGGTGACTTATTTCAATTAAATTAATTCCCTGAATTAATAGAGCCTTAATGTCAATAGATATTATTTAAAAGATAACAATTTATTACAGTTAATTCTTATCTATCCAATCCCATGTTTTCGTTCGTTACACAGGTCTTTGAAAAACATTGCAAAAAGTGTAATCCTGGTATTTATTTCATCTCCTCCTTTCAAATACGTAGCTTCTGTCCAAATACAAATTACAAAATTTCATAGGTAAACCGTGAAGAACTGGACACCAAGCTAGCATACATCCAAGTGACGTGGGTACGGACGGCGCCCGAAGGAGTGGCGGTGGCCAGTTCTGGCTGCGAAGGTTCCTTCGAGCGAGGCCACAATGTGCGGCGGTTTGTCTTCGAGACACCTTTCACGAGAGATGGCGCTGCTAGGGGCCCGGTGCATCACCAGCGGTTGAGGCTGACACATCTTACTGGTGAGCAATATTTATATTCAAGTATGTAGATCCAAGTGACGTAGGAGTGAGGTGGCCAGTTCTGGCTACGAGGGCTCCTTCGAGCGAGGCTACAACGTGCGACGGTTTGTCTTCGAGACGCCTTTCACGAGAGATGGCGCTGCTAGGGGCCCGGTGCATCACCAGCGGTTGAGGCTGACGCATCTTACTGGTGAGCTATATTTATATTCAAGTATGTAAATCCAAGTGACGTAGGAGTGACGGTGACCAGTTCTGGCTACGAGGGCTCCTTCGAGCAAGGCCACAACGTGCGACGATTTGTCTTCGAAACGCCTTCAATACTCAATACTCAAATCTTTATTGCATTTCACAGTGTACATTAGGTCTTAAATATATAATTGAGAAATGGCGCTGCTAGGGGCCCGGTGCATCACCAGCGGTTGAGGCTGACGCATCTTACTGGTGAGCAATAATTTAAAATACTGGATGTGAACTGCTCCTGGAAGAGTGGCGGTGGCTAGCTCTAGCAACAAGAGCTCATTAGAACGAGGCCACAACCTGTTTATTTAGCGTTCAGTGTCGTGTGTACAAACAACGACACATCAAAGTAAAGACTGTGATATCTTACGAAATTGTAATAGGGACTATTTTGCAACAAATAACTGGCAAGCTGTACAAGCCTGTAAGTCGTGCATTTTAATGTGAATTAATTATGTGTCGTATCGTGTCTTCCTTAAATCTGTAAAAATGACACTTTAGAATGTATGTACAAAAAACGACACATCAAAGTAAAGACTGTGATATCTTACGAAATTGTAATAGGGACTATTTTGCAACAAATAACTGGCAAGGCTGTACAAGCCTGTAAGTCGTGCATTTTAATGTGAATTAATTATGTGTCGTATTGTGTCTTCCTTAAATCTGTAAAAATGACACTTTAGAATCTTTGAATATTTCAGGCAGTATTTGTAGCTATCTAACCTTCAATCAGACACCTGCGGTTCAATATCTATCAACCAGGGTTGTGACCTTACGTGCAACCCATAGAACACAGGAGGAAGTCTTAATCTGAGCCTTGAGATTATTTAGTGTTAACTTAGTATTATCATTGTATATTTTATACAAATTAAATAGTTCCTGCTGAGTTGTCAGTAAAAATTTTCATTGATTAAGGCCAAGACGAAGTTTTATAGTCAATATTATTTAATTTTGCAGCGGAAAATTGGTTCCCCTACGTGAAGCGTCGTGTGCCAGTAATCGAGACGCAAGTTGAAGAGAAGAGTCCGATAGAGGTCGCTGTAGCCGAGATGGAGAGCCAGGTGGCTGAGCTCACAGAGATCGTCAACGCTAAGGCGCCGGATATCAAGAAATTACAACTTAGGTATGTCCATAATTGGAACACTAACATTAGCAGCGGCATTAAAGTCCCCATGAAAGCTGTAAAGGAAAGTATCAAAGTATTTTACTGTTCTGCTTAACATTTTCGCAGTCTAGCCTGCATGAATAAATTTTACTCAAAACTCGATTCCAACTCAAGATAAATTAATATTTATTTCCAAGAATATGGTACAATGATTTGATCATAAATATAGGTACAAAGTTCAACATATTCTGCCATTGATTGTAGGCGTAGAAATAAAGGTACTATTGTGGTACACGTAGACATAGAAATATAGGAGGTACTGATTAAATCTTTCTAGATCAGTGGTTCTTAACCGGTGGTCCGCGGACGACTGGTGGTCCCTGAAGGCATTCCAAGTGGTCCGCGAAGACATCGTAATAAACAGTGACGTGACGTGATGAGTCGAGGCAACACAACGCAAGCGGCGCACAGTGGGCGAGAAATCGACCTCCCCTTTCATAGGATTTTGAAAAAAAATAGTGGTCCCTGACAAGACAGAAATTTGGTAAAATGGTCCCTCGTGACTTAAAGGTTAAGAACCACTGTTCTAGATAATACCTGAGGTGTTTAGTTTCCCCTTGTATTTACAAAGCTTCTCGCATTCCAGATTGCAAGGAAGTATCTGCGTGCAAGTGAATGCGGGCCCTCAAGCGTACGCCAACGCGTTCTTAGATCCCACTCTTGCGCAAATGTACCCCGACGAACTCGTCGACAAACTGAAGACTACCTTTAAGTAAGTAACTTTAATTATCTTTTCATCATCATCATCATCTCAGCCATAGGACGTCCACTGCTGAACATAGGCCGCCCTCAATGCTTTCCATGTTGCCCGGTTGGTAGCGGCCTGCGTCCAGCGCCTTCCTGCTACCTTTATGATGTCGTCGGTCCACCTTGTGGGTGGACGTCCCACGCTGCGTTTTCTGGTACGCGGCCTCCACTCCAGAACCTTGCTGCCCCATCGGCCGTCAGATCTGCGTACTATATGCCCTGCCCATTGCCACTTCAGCTTGCTAATCCGTCGAATTATCTTTTACCCTGATCTCTTTCTCTCATACCTAATTTACATGTTTGTTTTTTTACCTATGATAGCGTCATCATCATTTCGTCGTCATTTTTGTCATCCGTTTTCCAGTGGAGTGAAGTAGATATTTAATTTGAAACTTCTCCTTGCCTCTATAAGTTTCGTTGCGGGTCCAATAACAGCGTAACTTTCCCCTGGGACAAAATTTACATTCACTGTTTGGGTTTTATTAGCGGTTAAGTTGTAGATCCTGGCTAGCGGTTAAGTTGTAGTGGGTACGAGAGGTGGCAGTAATCCAATGTCTATAAAGTAGAAGAATAACTCAAAACTTTACTTTTTCAGGGAATTCCTCACCATATGCCACTCAGCCCTCCAATTGAACGCCAAGCTCATCAGCTCGGATCAAGTGACGTATCACGAAGCGCTGGAGGCTAACTACTACAAGTTGAGTGACTCTCTGTCCAGCGTGTTAGGACAACCGTTACACGATATACTCGTGAATGGAAGTCTAAGCACCACAGTCACCGGAGTTGAACTAGAGTCTAGCAACGCATAGACAAGACCAGAGACAAAAATACGCGGGCACATTGACTGAAGTGACAGGTAAAATATGCGTGCGCGCATTAGAAAATGTATTGTGGGGACGCAATCTCGTGTAGTTGTCCATATTAATTGTGCATAAATGAAGCGTACAACGAATTGGCTATGCATTTTCTAAATTATTTATTAAACGCTTTTCGAGTAGATGCACAGGAGACAAGAGACAACACACCATTATGTAAAAAAATACCCTTGACAAGAAAGAAAGCACGATAATTAGAAAGAGATAATATTCGATATGAACGTTTAATTCTGTTTCGTTTTGCTTCGGTCTTTCTTAACATACTTATTTTGCTTGTCGCAATCGTTCCAGCATGGATCGTTATGCGTATAAATAGAGAAACGTTTTATACGAAAAACATTAGTCAATACCTTTAGGTGATTAAAAAAACTTAACTATTTCGTCTCAAATTCTGTCTAGTAAAATTACCTTTATCTAATTATTTCTATACTAAGGCATTCTCCTTCACGATTACGATAAGGCAAAAGTCCATATTCACCTTGACCTTATCTCCATTTTCCATACTCCTGAGAAAAATACGTATCCAAAGACTGGGCAATTACCTCCATACGACCGACTGAACTCTAAAGAGCTTCATTTTTAATCCCGTATTCGAGTACTTAATAGTTATTTATCTGAGGCCCGTATTACGATACTACCTTTGATTCAGGGCTGGGTCTGATCGATTGGGTAAAATTATCAAGACAGACCTTCATAAGTATAGTTTTGTGGGCGTCGTTTTATAGTACGGGCTCGAAAGTGATACATCAGCTGTCAATTACCAAATCCATCCTCCCGCACACGCGACGTTGGTGTACATTCGTAAATAAGATCTTGAGTATTTATCAATCTATCTATTGAGCATTTTACTCATCTTTAAATATATTTCGGTAAAATAATTGGATCAGTATTTGATAATAGTTTTGATTAACCCTCCAATTTCAAGTTGAGTCGTTTAGATATAATTTTGAAAGAAATCACGTTGCCCTCGTAAGCCAAAAAATAGTATGTCGATAGAAATTTTGTAGCCCTTGTTGGCTTATCAGTGTGCATTAAATCTAGACAAATGGCCCTTTTTGCTATATAAGGGGTAATCTTTACCCTGATTGTATGCGTCAGTACTTAATTATAACTTTACAATCATGAATAAAAAAAGATATTTTCAAAATAAATTCACTTTCCAAAGCACATTGCTAATTCACCTGTGCTGTCATGAGTAGGAAAGTGTTCTATTAGTTGCATTCGTAATTAATATAAAGGTTATTAAAGAAAAACATAATTAAGCACACAACGTGTGATTTAATTGACTTTTATGTAGATTCGATTACTCAACTTTTAACTTTACGTAATTTTTGCCAAATAATTTCAAACCGTAAAATTAATTGGGGCCTCATGTTTTTTCTTTATTCCAATATTTTAACATTACTTAATGTATTATTATTTCTCATGATACCAATTCATAGATAAGTCGATCGAGCACAAACTTAGATTTAGATAGGATTTTATAAACTCCCATTTAGAATGAACCTAAGAATATCAGTCACCTGTAAACAAGCGTTTGCAATTTGCCATGCTTATCATAGTTTAGTGTATAAGGATTTTATCCCAGTCTATTATCATAATTACTATTCTCTCTATCACTGTATTTTATAGTTCCTTTACATTCGCCTTGTTTTATTGTATCTGTTGTATTGTATTAAAATAAGAATTGTATAAAATTATGATTTATGAATAAATTAATATTATAAATTAACATTTAAAACCACTTTACAAACATTATAATGTGAGAATTATCCCAAAATATTGTTGAATTTTCGTGTTATAATATTGAAATGCGTTTTTTGAGAATCGACAACAATACAGGGTGTGAGAAAAATTGAAACAGAATGCTCAACCAAGCTAAGTGACTAAAACCCCAATGAAACATTCGTTAATTTTTTTCAACACACTAAATGATGTTATACATTGAGGATTTAATAAAAGAATAAAAATATACTTATTATACTTATATTCTTTCATACCCTGTAGTATACATAATGGACATGATTTTTAAAATTGAATTTATTGTTATTTGGTGAGCACAAAATGACCTCATGTATTGAAATAATGACGGCGTCGAATTTTATATTTTAAAATTATGATACAAGCGAGTTTATCGCGCAATAAACGAATATGCCTATTTTGTGTCGACGAAAATAACAAATTTGAAACAAAACGTACTATAATTTATCAGTATCTTATCTAGCAACGTATGGATTTGTGTTAGGTTAGTTAGTCGATTCATAAGTAACTTTTTTTGTCTGAACAAATTTTATTTGCAGAGTTATTGACTGTTTTATTTATTTTGTTAATCGTCGATAAACGCTTATTTTCACGTACAAAAATAGATTTATTTAGTCATTCATTTTACCGCAGAAATGAAGTGCCTACGTAACGCACATTTAGTACTTTCATATAATGAAGCGAATAATTGTTTAACCATGCGACTATTATTTTTTTCGATATATTCTAATTATTATACATAAGTACGTAATCACTTCTTTTTGTGGTAGAAATAAATATACTGTGACTACATGACACAATCGTTTGTTTGTATACTCCACTCATTCCATAACTTATTATTATTTATGGTTGCATAAACTTATGTATTCGGGGATGGTGAATAAGTTTTGATTAATGTTTTATATTCTTTATAATAGTGACGTCTATGTTAAAATTCGTATTCTGAAAAGACTATCAAAAATCTATTTAAACTGTAACAAAGTGTTTGATTGGCTTAATTTCAATATTCAGACCAATCTACTAGTAGAGATATTTTAAATTTTTTTTTTATTATTTTATACTTTTCTAAACGCGAAATCGAAATGTCTGTCAGTGATAATAATAAAATGTGATAACAATAATCACGACAAAATCTGAATATTGTTTCCTTTTGCTTAACAGACGCCGGGAAGATGGCTATATCATTTAATAATTGGTGTTCTTGAGTGTACTTAATAAATGTTATGATGTATTGATAATTTACTTGTATTGTTTAAATAATTTATTGTCAAATTAATATGTAATAATAAACATGATATTTAAAAATGCCATAAAATATTCGTCAAATTACTTATAGCGAATTTAACTGTAGTCATTGTTGTTACTATTATTATCGAAGCACGTACTAAGGAACAACTTTTGTATCTAGTTATTTAATTTTTAGCGTTAAGAGTCGCATCTCAAACTAATTTGAAAATTATAAATAACTTGAAAAAATCGAATTGCCTAAGGCGGGAATTGAACCCACGACCTTCCGCTTGCCGGGCGACTGCTCTTCCAACTGAGCTACTTAGATACTTAGAACTGACAGTTAAATGTTTGCAACAATATTTCTGTTAGATGTAGGGTAGGTATACTCAACATTGATGAAACAAACGCTGGCCGTAACAGCGTATTACACTTGAAAATTTCGACGGGTTCATCCAGTGTCTAAGTAGCTCAGTTGGAAGAGCAGTCGCCCGGCAAGCGGAAGGTCGTGGGTTCAATTCCCGCCTTAGGCAATTCGATTTTTTCAAGTTATTTATAATTTTCAAATTAGTTTGAGATGCGACTCTTAACGCTAAAAATTAAATAACTATGTAAAAAGAGCTGTTTCATCTTAACTGACAGTTAAATGTTTGCAACAATATTTCTGTTAGATGTAGGGTAGGTATACTCAACATTGATGAAACAAACGCTGGCCGTAACAGCGTATTACACTTGAAAATTTCGACGGGTTCATCCAGTGTCTAAGTAGCTCAGTTGGAAGAGCAGTCGCCCGGCAAGCGGAAGGTCGTGGGTTCAATTCCCGCCTTAGGCAATTCGATTTTTTCAAGTTATTTATAATTTTCAAACTTTTGTATCCTCTACTGAATTGTAATCTGAACTTCACTGTTTTAATACATTTTGAAATATATTTCGTTTTTATTATTTACAAACACCCTGCTTTTAACAGCTCAGCTCAGAAGCTTAGAAAATTAATAACTATCGCATTAATAGTTGTCAGTGGTCCGGCATTCATTGAATTATGTAAACCATAAGGTTCTACAAGTTAAAAGGTTGAACCTTTTAGTAGACTACGACATGTTGCGTTTTCTTGGGCTGAAAATCAAACCGGTTGCAAGTATTGGTTAGAGAGCGAACGCTCCAACAAAACCTGTGGGTGGGTCTAGACAAAGTGCATATAATCGCAAACCAGTCGAGAGTTATGACGGATTCGATTTTCGATTCAATCAAAAAGTGCTACATGTCTGGGGGGGGGGGGGGCTGTATTCCCTTTGTTACCCATGATTGAGACAAAAAAACTACACCCTGTATTCATTATATTGTGTAACTCCCAAAATTAAAACCTCTTCGTATTGTAAACTTTCTGCAACCATTCAGAAACACAAAATATTATCTCTCACAGAACTCATCACGTTAAATTGAAATTAATAGCCTAGCCACTATTCAAATCATTTGCCATTTTTTATCAAGTGATTGTTCCAAAAGTAAAATTATACGATAGCGCAGCTACCTTTTTTAACCAGCTTGCTTTAGTTTTATTATCTGTTTTTTCTGTCAAGGTTGTCAAAAAGCTACAACTGTCAAAATGCAGTGAATGTTTATAAAAAAAGTGACTTCCATGTTCAGAAATACGTAATTTTATCAAGCAATTTTTATTTGGGATTGCTTTTATTGCTTCAACACGACACATTCTTTTCAAGGACATGGAAGACGAATTAGAGGACAGAGTTTTGCACCAAACCTACGTTTCGTTCATGAAAATTTTGTCACGTTTCTCGAGCAGTGCACCGTTTGATACTCCTGTGAGCTATTTATGGAAAATGGTGCGTCTTTATTTACTTCGATCAGAAGTACTAGTGTTCACTTTAGGCATCATAATATTTTTCATGTATCTCCAAACGATAGAATTATGGAGTCGCACATTACTGAGCAGATTATCGCAAGCATTGAGTCCAATGGGAGCTGTGCAACGAATGAAGTTTATGGAGGGCTCTGAGGCCGATAAGCAAAGTTGGGAGCTGAAAGGCACCTTAAGTGCAGCTTATGCAATCAAAGGAAGGAGAATGCACATGGAAGACCGATTCATAATAAATGAAAACATTAACAATACAGGTATTTCCCTGTTTGCTATTTTTGACGGACATGGTGGCGAATTTGCTGCCAATTACGCCAAAGAACATCTTATTCAAAACCTGTTCAACAAGATAGTGGAGCTTAGTGCTGTTAGAGAGGGTAAAATAATAAGTACTCCCCCTAAGGAGAGTCCAGAAGAACCGAAGCCCAAAGAAGAGAGCAATGCAAGTGTTGAAAGAAAAACTAGCTTCAAAAAAGCTGTCAGTACAGCAGATGACACTTCACGGAAAGAAATCACTGACCCTGAGCTGTTAGCTCAGCTTTCGAAAGCCAGACCGATTATTACAAGAGAAGTGAGGCCTACAGTGAAACCGATCAAGAATATAGCTATACCAATATCGAGCTATTTGGACAAAGGCAAGATTAATTATGGTAAGCTGCTCACTGATGAAGTGCTAGCTGCAGACAGGCTCCTGGTGGAGGCAGCCAAGCGTTCCTTGAATGTGGCCGGAACTACAGCTCTCATTGCTGTGATGGAAAATAACTATTTGATTGTTGCCAATGTTGGTGATTCTCGAGGAGTTATGTGTGACTCCCGTGGGAATGCTATACCAGTTTCTTTTGACCATAAACCCCAGCAGGTAGACATTTAGTTTTTATTGTTACTGCAATTTTTTTTAATTTGATGTGGCATTTACCTTGTTTTTCAATTTATTTTTTATCTATGCAATTATTGCAAGTTATGTTTTTTAAATTGAAGTTATTATTTTATTTTGCAGGTAAGAGAACAGAAAAGAATTGAAGCTGCTGGAGGATATATTGCTTTCAATGGTGTGTGGAGAGTTGCTGGAATATTAGCTACGTCTCGAGCCATGGGAGACTATCCTCTCAAAGATAAGAAGTTTGTCATAGCTGACCCAGACATTCTTACATTTAACCTCAATGACCACAAGCCAATGTTTTTAGTGTTGGCCTCAGATGGCCTTTGGGACACCTTTTCTAACGAAGAAGCTGTCAAATTTATAAAAGAAAGATTGGATGAGCCAGATTATGGTGCCAAAAGCCTTACACTACAAGCATATTATCGAGGATCAGTGGATAACATCACTGTCTTAGTTATAAATTTTTTAAACAACAAAATAGCTGCTGCATCCATCACTGAGTAATTAAACAGTCTTTATACAGAAATGACAGACCTCTTCCAGCTTCGGAATGTATTGAAATATTTTTTCTAGCCGTAAGAATGTTTGAGAATTTTAATTGTACATTTAACATGCTACATTTTTGTAAATAAAATATGGACAACCATAATAGTAGATGTATAAATATCTATGGAACTTATATTTTTCTAACAGCTATGATATAAAAAATCTATCTAATTTTTTGAACCATACAGCTCAAAAGGTCTAAACTTTTGCATTTGCATATTACTAAAGTTATATAGAAGTACATAATATGAATGTTGTTGTGGTGTGTTAGTTCGGTGTTGATGAAAAGTAATTTCAATGTTGTAATGTAAAGCGCGCTCTACACTCGCGCGCGATTCTTGCTGTGAATTCACGCCGCGATTCGCGCCGTTCACTTCGCGTTTATATGTGTCTCTCCACACTCGCGAAGCCTCGCAGTCTCGTTCGCGGCCTCAATGGATGACGACGTGATTGTCGCTGCTGCGGTGACGCTCTATGCTATATCGTATTACAATTACCTATGTATTAAAAATAAGACACAAATAAAAAATCTTGAGCTTGCCCCACTATGAGTGGAATCCTTAACTTTATTTTTATGGGTTCTATAACTGGACATAAGTATGTCCTTTTTTTTTCAATTCACTTACAGGCTCCCACAGGAATATTCAAAATGTCACTTATCCGCGTCCAGACATCGTGGGTCTTATTTTTATTTTATGATCCTTGTGTTTGGACTGCCAAAGTATTTGTTCAGATTGGAAACACTCGATAAATTTCAACTCAAGTTCATTATTCCATGTAGTACTCATTTAAAAAAAAAAGAACGTTAGTAAGTACGCAATAATGCACAACCACTTGCGACGGCGTCTTCTCAGCTATTGCGAAAAACTGCGAGTGTAGTTGCGTTCGCGATCGCGCGCCGTGAACCAAGCGCGAACCTTTGTCGCGGGACAAAAAACCGACAACGAACGGGGAACGGCGCGAAGCGTGAACGTGAACGCGCGAAAGTCCGCGAAACCATCTACACACGCGTTTCGCGGCTTTCGCGGCCTTTCGCGCCGCGAGTGTAGAGCGCGCTTAAAGTTCTATATTCATAAAGTAAATGCATAATAATATCAATTTCGTATATTTATGAAATGTGTAAATACTTACGTCCAGTAGTTATTGTTTAAGCAAAAATATATTTTTGAATGTTAAATTGTACCTAATATTATCATATTTTTGAAATTATAAATTTTGAATTTATGTATGGTTGTGATGTGGACACATTTGACGAGAAACTTGAATTTCGGCACTAACGCAAAAACTTGACTACTTAAATGTGATCTAAAATATCGATTCACATTGTATTTTGTTGACATAAGCATTGAAGCACCCAATTTTTTGTTCTTATTAAGTTTAATGTTTGGTGTAATGTGATATCAGATACTTCTTGCATTTGAAATTTAGTCTGGAGCATAGTTTCACTTTTGAAATGTAGCAGATTTGCCTAATTTTTGCCTGTGGTGCTAGTCATTACTTTTTTCAATAGGAGTATGTATGTATAAATATAGTTATTTAGAAGTATTGTGTCTTGATTCCTTTGTTTTATAATTATTATGGTATTTAAAGTTATTGTGCATTTTACTTGTATTATGTACATTTAAACTAAAAGTTTTATTATAAAATATTTTTGTAATTTTATCTAAATTAGTATGTATCAATTAAATTGATCAGGAAGTACAAACACATTTTCAATTCTGTATTTGATTACATGGTGTATAGAGGCCTATGGATAGAACGCCTATTTTTGATACCATCTTTATGGCAGGTATCCATTTTCGTAAACTGGGGCCAATCAAGTTTAGCCAAAAACTTTACAAACTCAATTTAATAGGCCTTTTACAATAATACTTTGCATAATAATGTTATAGTGCCAAATAAACATTTATTTTTATTTGTTAATAACAGAATTTATGATTTGTTTTATGTTTTTATCAATTAAAATTTAGATTTTTTACTGGTTATGCTTTTAGACTTTTGCTGACGTAACTTTGAACAAGATACATAGAAATAGATACATAAAACTATCTTGCTAAATGTAAGTGCTGACTGACCGATCTCAGTATCAAATGTGGAAATAAGAAACTCACCAGCATTTTTCAGTTACGATTACCACACGTTTTCGGGAAATCTTGCATGAAAAGTATATATATTTTATGTTAACTTCTGTTGTATATATTTCATATTTTAGAATAGTGTTTGTTTAATTCATATGTATCTAACAGTCGCATTATTGTCCAATCGTTTGTTACTTATCTACCAAAGCATAATTATATGTATGTAATAAATGGTAATGAAAAATTCTAGCATGTTATTTTTATCACTATGCAATAACCCGATAAGGGAATGCTAATTAAAATAAAATCACAATCGAAACGTGAATAAAAATCCGCCCTATAATAATTGATACATTCATTTAGTACATTTTACTGTTAAAATGTGTTTCTATAAATGTTCTTTAAGAAAGTTTATTTACCTACCTGAACATTTTATCTTTTTAAGTTACATTTTGTACGGTTGGAAATGGATGAACAACATAATTGATTCTATATTTGGTATGTGATATGTTAAAAAGTCATGCACTTGCAAACAATTACAGGTATAAAAATAAATGAAAAATATTATAAGTAAAACTAAAAAACATTTATTCGCGATGAAAATAGAAAAGCCAATTTATTAACTAGTCTTTGTCTCTTCCAGTTATGTAAAATCTTATATTACAGATATTTTGAAGTATTTTCCAATATCTACGCCCTAAAAACGAAACAAAATAATATGCTGTACATCGGAATGGACTGGTTCAGATACAGGTAAATCATTTTTACAAGAACTTTGTGCTTATCTAGAATGACTAGAAAAATAATTATGAACTGAAGTTTTATTAATTCCTTGGAATTTTATTAAAACATTTTAGTCAGGGTTAACTACATAAACAGTTTCAAAGTAATGATCTACCAACATATTGCATTTTAAACCAAATAATATGCTGCCACATAATAAACATATAATTCGGATGCTACTAATATTATAAAATGGCCTTCAGTTGCCTGTAAGATTTTCAGGAAATAATAACTTATTACTAATTTAATAAACAAATAGCTTATTAAAGGCACTGCAAAATAATAACTGCTTAATATTATGCTATCCCAGTCTATTTGACATTTTTGCAAGGTGTAATTATTATTATAGGCACTGTTGCACTTGGATGTTATTTTTAAGCTTAGATTCGTTATTCCCAAGACTGGCAATATATCAAATGTACGAGTATCATAAGACTAATTCATTACATATAATTCTATCTATAATATATTGAAAACAACTAAATTCCTTTTGTGTGATGTATTTAATAAACAAAGTTGGCGCCGCGACTCAGAGAATTTCGAACTCGGCATCCGAATCATCAAACTGTCGATCCACCTCTTCAAATTCTGTAACAAAATAATAAACATCAAAAATAATTAGGATTAGGACTAAAAAAAACTTTACTTTTTAATTTTTTTAAGTAGAAAAATGTATTATCTTAGGTGGGAACTGAACCCACTACTCAATAATCGCGACTTCATTTATTTATCAAGACTTCAATACTATTTCTTCTTTTTTCCACAAATCACTTGTAAACTTTTATTAGGCTCGATCATTTTAAAATTAAAACTACCTATATTTCGAATATTTAAATAATGTATACCAGTGAAAAGGTTCGTATTTTGCAGATCAATGTCATTGGTGCTCGGACCCCAGTGAGCTGGCCTCTTCTCACAAATTTCAAATAATGGTTGGCTCTCAGTCATCAGACTTCTTTGTATAGTGTTACATAATTCTTCAAAGTCACGTTTGGTACGACAAAGGAAGCACTGAAAAAAAAACATATTAATGCAGTTAACTATCAACATTGTTACTACAGCTTTCATAATTCAGTAATACTTACCACAAAATATAAGTAAAGTGGTATTTTTATGGCTAAACATAAGGGTATGGAATGTATCAAAAAGTTCACGGACACTTTTGTGTTTTGCCCGAACTCTTTGTTTCAGCGCATCGCAAATTACGCTTTTAAAGTGTATGTAAAAATAACTACTCAGTACTTTTGGCTTATGCAGCCATTTGTGCGCTTTGTCAACGCAAAATTCGTTCGGTAACTTCGTTGCAAGCTCCATTGTGAAATTTTCTTAAAGCTTATTTAATGTTTTTATGAACATAAATCAAGGTTTATTAAAGACTAGCTTTCCGCCCGCGGCGTCGCCCGCGTGGAATTTTGTCTGTCACAGAAAAACTTTATCGCGCGCGTCCCTGTTTCAAAAACCGGGATAAAAACTATCCTATGTTCTTTCCCGGGACTCAAACTATCTCTATGCCAAATTTCATCAAAATCGGTTGCGAGGTTTAAGCGGGAAAGCGTAACAGACAGACAGACAGACAGAGTTACTTTCGCATTTATAATATTAGTTGGGATAGTTGTAGGATTGAGTTAAAATACTGACCACAGCAACCGAAGGATCCATTGCTAGCATTGGTATACGGGAAGCATATTTACAGTGATATGTACAATCCATTTCTTTTTGTTCATCAGTTTGTTTACCCTGTAAAAAGAAAAAATAATTTAATGCCAAAAATCGTCATTGCGACGTCGGTTGTCTCTAAATTACATAATTTAATCCTATCTTGGTGCAAACAATACAGTACTAAAGAATATGTTGATAAGAGTGATCTTTTTTTAATATAATGTGGATACTTAACTTTTACATATTATTTTCTGGTACAAATTGATGTTAATAATAGTTTGGTTAAGATCACACTTACTTCAATCAATCCAGATCTCTGTGTAGTGTGGGGATCCAAGTAAATAACTTCATCTCCTACACAACCTATCAAATATAAGGCCTGGTTGGGTTTGCCACCAATCACACCTATGGATTGGGGGCTTTGGAAGCATATCTGGAATAGAATATAATGCAAAAATAGAAATTAGGCCAGTACAAAACAATACAATATACAATTATACATACACCTAAGTCCACAAGGCCTAGTGCATTAGTTCCCAGGGGAGGCGCAAGGACCTTTAAAGGGGGGCGCGGGCCATCTGTGTACTTAAGTATAAAAACCTGTAACCGCTAAGAGAATGCAATAATGCATTCCAGACTGCTCGATACAACCAATAATAATCTTGACCGGAGAAGGGGGGTCGCGGAATTTTTTGTATGGTCGAAAGGGGCCGCGTCTCAAATAAGTTTGAGAACCAACGGCCTAGTGGCTTGTCTAGTAACTTAAAGTTCTAGAGTCAGTTGCAGATTTTTTTAACCCAATGAAATAGAGAAAATTGGTAGGATTCACTGAAACATTTACTTAGCATTATGAATTATGGATGTTTATGTTATATGATTTATCTAATTACATATTTTTTATCAATTATTCTACTGTCCACCGTGTCTCTTTAATCACTCGACATTGGCAAAAGCAGTGTGCTTGAAGTTATGCACCATTGAAGCCATTAGACAGAATAATAACTAATAATACCTATTACAAATAAATAAATAATAATTATAACTAGTTAAAGAAATGACACTGATATCTAACAATAATTGGCAGAATTATTGTTAGATATCAGTGTCATTTCTTACTATAGTTATAGACTAAACTATTATATTATTGTACCTTCAGTCCATTAATATATACAGGGTTTATTTCACTAAGTCCCAGTCGTAGAGGCACTATCAAAAGCAGGGGCATCCAGTCCGACACAATCGCATCTGGCCCTGAAGTCGAGGAACAGTCTCCTCTGTCATTGTTGACAACACACTGTTTTACTGCAACCAAAGTGGAAGTTTTTTATTTTTTTGCAATAAATAAATACTGATAAAGTATTAAAAACAAACTTACAGATATCCTCTTTAACAACAGTATTGTCCAAAGCTACATGGATCACTAAAGAACTCCACTTGTCAAAGACAACCAATTTTCTGAAATTAAACCATTAAAAACAACATAAATAAAACTGTATCTTTTTCATTCAAATGTTTACATTTCTGTCCCAGTTCGAATTATTAACCATGCTAAATTGATTGTTTTTATCACTTAATATTTAGAACAGACTGGTAATAAACTTGCATTTATTGAACTTTATCAGTGTAATACTCACTTTAGAACTTGTGCAATAGTATTGGGACCAAACCATTGTCCCACGTCCTTGCCTTCAGAGGCTCCCATGAGAGCTACTTGATGTATTGAGTATGGTGCTTGCTTCCTCTCTTCGAAACGCTGGACTATCTTCAAGTAGGTAGGATCCCTAACAATAAAAACCATTCATGAATGTATAGTGGTTTTTTAACTTATTTATAGACAGTAGGATTAAGACAAGATAAGATAAAATGGTTTGAGAAAATTAGTAGATTTTTGAGTTTATTCTACTTGTTGATCTATTTCAGTTATGACTAACAATTAACAAGCTTTTCTTGTAATAATAATTAATAGTACACAGACTATTTTTATACCAACTTACCTTGTTTCTGGTGTCCATACCCAGTCAGCAGACAAATGCACTCTGAGCAGTGCAACACCAAGTACCATTTGGCCACATCTCAGCATGCAACCCCAGCCTTTATCTGACGTCAGCCCTTCGTCGCCAATAGGAACGAATCCCTTGCGATACGTACACCAGATAATGGAACTAATATCGCGTCTGATGCGGTCCAAATCTACGAACAAAACAACCATTTGCAAATTTTTGACATAACCAATAGGCAAGATAATAGCAAACTTAGCATGTCATAAGTATTACGCAGAACTCAATCCAAGCGCAAACCTTGAATAGCACTGTATTTCTTGCCGAGGATCCAGACACTATCCTTTGTTTGAGGAATATCATCAGGTTCAACGCTGTTACCCTCAGAGGACAGGTAACAAATATCAAACATGGCATCCATCTTTATACATATTTCATACGTAGCCTACTTTAGAAAGTACGTTAGATTTATATTATTAAATCTTGAGTATTTCAAAAGAAAATCGGAAAATAAACACAAAACACCAAGCAATGACAAGACAACAAATGACAGCTGATTGATTCTCTTTATTTTTAAAATGATGGTTTGTCCCTTTGCTATTGGCCAGACTACACTTAAACTGACTTAAAGATCGACGCACACTTATCAGTTGGAAAGGATTCATCCCCATTTTGAGAGCCTTTCGTTCAGTATTCTTTGCTTTGTAGAATATTAAACCCCGTATAAAGCAAGAAACTGTCTACAATGCACACTGATTGAAATCGTAACTTAATCGCCTCGCCTCGGGACAAGCTGAAGAACCAAAAGACGCAGCTTGCGGGCTTGCGGGGCGTTATCTGCCAGTTTTCGAACTTCCAAGTTTATAAGTGTGCTATGACTTTAAGTTTTTAGACTAGAAATATGTACTTCCGTAGCTGTAACTTGTTCACAGAACTTGTTTAAAAAAAACTAAAATGACATTGACTGATATCTGTCAATGTCAGTCAGATTTGGTAAAAGTTGTTTTGCTATTTTTCCATTTTCTTTCGCTGCAGTTTGTGCGATACAAATATTAATCATAATTGCCATTTTATTTAAATTTCATATAAAATGGAGTCTAGTGCTTTAGATTACGTGGCTCAAGCATGTATGGATTTGACTGAAGCTCTCATGTCTGCTAGCAATGATGCTGATAAAGATACTCTCATTCAAAATCACATCAAGAAAGTTTGGTCTACAGTTTCTCCCATTGAAGATTTTAAGAAAAGTATTTTAAACCTATGCATAACTTAATTTATAATTGGTATAAAAATTCAGAATATCTCAATCTCTTAAATAGAAAACATCACAAAATGTGTAACATCATTAGGGTTTGCAAATTATGTTTCACCTTTATTTTCCAGATTTAGATTGGGTGAACGTGATGGAGCCGGTGTCTCTAACTACACACTGTTCTGAGAAGATTGTGGTGCTAGATTTCTGGACATACTGTTGCATTAACTGTTACCATGTTCTACCAGACCTAGCACACGTGGAACAGCTCCATTCAGTTGAGAACGGACTTGTAGTGGTATGTTTAATTTAATCCAAATTGTTGCAAAAATTATCCATAACTTATTATTTTATGTAATAAATTGTAAAGTTTTTCCATTCAGGAGAATGTACAGGAGTATTTATTTATTTAAAATCTTTATTGCACACATAATAAATAGTGGTAGAACAGGCGAGCTTAATGCCATGTGGTATTCTCTTCCAGTTAACTAGAAAGATAGGCAAAACAGAGAATTTAAGTTATTATAATTAGATAAATTATTGTGTGTGGTAACTTTAAAGAAATTACTAAATCCTATTACTATTAAGCTATTCCTAGTTTATAGTTAGCCTTCAGATAATGACTGGCTCTAATTAATTTGATTCTAGAAATGTATGTGCCTTGCCTGTAGCAGAAAAATTTTGATTTTCAGATTGGTGTTCACTGTGGAAAATTCAAGAATGAAAAAGAGACAGGTAACATCCTAGCTGCAGTACTGAAGTACAACATACACCACCCAGTTGTGAATGACCCTGAGAGCTTGATGTGGGATGCATTGGGCATCAAATGTTGGCCTACACTTCTTATATTAGGTAAAACCATCATTTAATCTACACTCAAATTATTGTTTTCATAAAGGCATTTTCATTTAAAATTTTACCTTTGGTCAGTGTCACCAATTCCTTACAAATACTCTGCTATCCTAGTAAGACATTTTCTGTCAGTTTAACTGCAATTTAGGTTTGTAGATATTTGGTAGATAAAATATTGGTAACAAATAAAGATTACCAGACACTAATAGTCTTGATTTATTATTTAGCATTGTAGATATGTTACTGACATCAGTAATTATCTAAAACTATACATATTAGGACCTGATAATGTAATTCTCATAGTTTGCTAAAAATATTTTTATGCACAGGTCCATCTAACAAACCAATTTTCGTGCTGACTGGTGAGGGTCACAGAGAAGAGTTGAAGCTGTACATAGATGCAGCATTGCAGCACTTTGACTCCCGTATCTCCAGCTTGCCTTTGCCCATAGAACCCTTGAAATTCTTGAGGGCGAAAGATAATGTTCTCCATTTCCCCAGTAAGGTATGTTGCAAAAGACACAGTAAAATATAAAATAGCTTTATTTTTTCCACATACAATCACACTAAAATTGTTAATAGCATATAAAGTTTGACCTAGCTCCCTGATTGATGGTTATGACTAAAGTCTGGTCGCTGAGCACGTTAAATTTTGTCCAAAGACTCCAAGCTACCTACCCTTTTCGCTCGCGCGTAATTAATTATATTGCTGTTGCGACTGTGCGACGGGCGGCAGCAGTGAGTGTGTGAGTGCGACAGCAATATAATTACGCGCGAGCGATAAGGATGGGTAGCCAGTGCCGTATTATCCATAAGGCACTTTAGGCCAGTGCCTAGGGGCCCACTATGGCCAGGGGCCCACTATGACCAGGGGCCCAGCACTCCCGATAAAAAAATGAAAAAAAAAAATGTTCAAGATTATTTTTATGCAACAAAACTAAAACCACCTCAAAACTTCGCCTTATTTTGGTTTACACATTCAATCGTCATATTTCGATATTGTGGATCCTAATTCATTTTCGTAACGTTGGCATTACTGCTTTGGGTTACATGACAGGTCGACGGTCGACGCCCTTCAGAGGCTAAAAAGCCTCACTGCGGAGGCTAGGGAGAGGGCTGAGGGTGTGTTGGCTGTATCATTCGATATAGCCAACGCTTTCAATACCATCCCTCATTCCATCATACTCTAGGCACTTCAACATCACAGAGTGCCTCAGTACCTTCGAGCGCTGCTGGCCGATTACTTACGGGACCGCGAAGTCCTGTATGTTAACAGAGACGGCCAGCTCAAACGGCGCGGTGTAGCCAGCAGGGTTCCGCAGGGTTCGGTGCTCGGTCCCCTCTTGTGGAACCTAGGCTTCAACTGGCTCCTCCGGGGCGTACTTCTCGCGGGCATTAGTGTCATATTATGCTATGCGGATGACACTCTGGTCACTGCCCGGGGAAGACATTTGGGGCCGCGGCATGGCTGGCGTTGGCGGGCGGCATATTAGTTGCTCGCAGAATACGACGCCTCGGCCTGAAAGTCGCGCTGGAGAAGACTGAGGCCCTCTTCTTTCCGGGGCCTCGCCAGCGCGCCCCTCCCGACGCGTTGAGGACGTTAAGATTGACGTCAAAGGCCAGATGAGATATCTGGGCCTCACGCTTTACGGGAGGTGGCATTTTAGCCCGCACTTAAACGGGCTAGCGCCACGCCTCCTCAAGGCAGCCGGCGCACTGAGTTGGCTCCTCCCGAATTTGGGAGGGCCACAAACGAGGTGCCGTCGACTTTATGCCTGCGTTCTGAGGAGCATGGCGCTGTATGGCGCTCCAGTCTGGGTGGACGCACTCAACAAGAGGGAGAATGCTGCCCTTCTACGCAGACCCCAGCGGGCCATAGCGCAGAGGGTCGCAAGGACCTACCGCACGGTAGGGCACTCTGCGGCGTGCGTCCTCGCTGGTACTCCTCCTTGGGAGCTAGAAGCTGGGGTCTTGTCTGTCATCTATCACTGGATGGCAGACCAGAAGGCGCGTGGAAAGCGCCCGGAGCGGTGCGGCGCCGTCACGAAGACATGACTCGCGCGCAGTTTAGCCGCCGCACTCTGGACGTTATTGGTCCTGTTCTGGGTTCCTCAGGTTCCGTCTGGCGCAGGTGCTGACCGGGCATGACTTCGGTTCGTACCTGCATAGAATCGGGCGAGAGGAATCCCCGCGTGCCACAAATGCGGCGCGGCGGATGACACGGTGCAGCACACCCTCGCGGTCTGCACAGGCTGGGAGGAGCAGCGCCGTGTCCTCACTGTGGTCGTGGGCCGGAATCTTTCGCTTCCGAGCCTGGTCATCGCCATGCTGGGAAGTGAAGGATGATGGAAGGCGATCGCCTCCTTTTGCGAAGAGGTCATCCTTCAGAAGGAGGCAGTGGAGCGCGAGCGGGAGAACGATGCTCTCGTCTCATCGCTCCGCAGGCGGAGAAGGCGGTTGTACGACCGTTCTACTCTCCCCCCAGGTGGCGGCCAGCAGGCCGGGGGTGCGGGGGCACCCTTGTCACCTTCGTCTGACGGGAACGGCTTGGCGTTTCGGGCATTTCCGTCGAACCCCCACAAGGGGGGCGTGTAGGGTCCGCCGTGTAGGCGAGCTGTCGCTGTAGCGTGGTGTCTCGGAAGTCTAAGGCTACGGCCGGATACTCGCGACACCCCCACTCGGCCTACGACGGAACGCCGCGGAGGTTTTAGTGGGTATACCCCGTCCTTTTCCCTTTTTAGGGCGTCGGGAGTCCCACATACCACCCTGTCCCCCGGCAGTGGTGACGGTGTGCAAAGCATTTCCTCCGCGACAAAAAAAAGGGGGGCCCGAAACGAGCTGTGCCTAGGGGCCCCGAGATGGTTAATCCGGCCCTGTGGGTAGCTTGGGGTCATTGGACAAAATTCTACGTGCTCAGCGACCAGACTATAATCATTTCACTCCCATTATTTTCTATCTTAGGCTAGGTTAAACCAAGTATTGCCTGCTAACCTCTTAATGTAATCAATTTAAATAATTAAATGTGTTTAAATATTCCAGGTCGCTTTGAACCCCTTCTACCGCGGTCGATGCGATGAGCCCTTCTTGGCCATATCAGACAGTGGCAACAACAGGGTTCTTCTCACTGACTGCTCTGGTGTGATTCTGAAGATAATTGGAGGAACAGATCCAGGGTTTAAGGATGGCAGTGAGTATAATACAATATTGTTAGCAAAAAGTTAAGCAACCTACAAATACTACATAATGATCCTCAAATTCGAGGCTTCCGGCGACTGGGACCGCAATTAACTAGGACCGCGGTCCCAGTCGCCGGGTCCATAAAAAAAAAAAATTTTCTTCCGGCGACTGGGACCACTCATAGATAACTTAAAAGAAAATATTATTCAATCCAAAATTGGTACAGTACTAAAATCCATGAGTGGTCCCAGTCGCCGGAAGAAAATTATTTAATTTTTACGCATCCGGTGACTGGGACCGCGGTCCCAGTTAATTGCAGTCCCAGTTGACGGAATCCTCGAAATTCAACCAGTCAAATGTAAGACTGAAATTAAATCAGATTTTGAGCTTCATCCTTTGTTATGTTTAGTACATTAAATGTCGTTTTAGAGTAACCTCCCAAGTAAACTATTAATAATAGCTTCTTAAGAGTGGGTTTACCACAAGAGTCCATCGATCGACGGGGATCGAACGTCGCCATCAAGCGTTTCTAGAATCTTGAGCCGGTAGTCCAATTGGGCTATTCTCGCCTCAAAATTGTTTTTCAGTTCAAGATTAACCTATAAAAATTATATTCAATTTCTAGAGTTGCTAGACGCGAAGTTCAACTCTCCGCAAGGCATCTGCTGGCTGTCCAGCAACGTGCTAGCGGTGTGCGATACTAACAACCACAGCGTGCGGGCTATACACCTTGATGAAGGAACCGTGGAGGTTCTGGTGGGCACGGGACATCAGGCTGCACATGGCGATATGGGTATGTGAATAATAGTGTTTTAAAGATCCACAGCAAAACTCGAGATTTGCGTTAAATTAATTTATAATAGAAAAAAAAACAAAGTCAAAGTTGTTTTACTTTGTGGCTCGACATTGAATCATATTTCTTTTTCGGCCGGTCAGGTATTTCAGCCTGCATTTTGCAGTTTTGTCCCATGTGTAAATCAAACCCATTCATAGATTGGGACTTAGAACTATTGCACAATGGCAGGGATGACTAAAATAAGCCTAGGCGCAGACCACCAACTTTTAGATGGCTGATAGTTGGGCACGATTCTATTTATATGAAGAATCGGCAGATACCAAATCGGTGTAATGTGCGCACTTTCTTACATGTCCAAATTGTCCAAGTCCATACTGATTAACATCCCGACCCAACTATCGGTCAACTAGCTAGGCTAAAATTTAACCCTTACTGCATAAAGTACCAAAATAAACTTTGTCACTGCCACTTAAAGCATAAAATCGTTATTCTAAACTATTGTCTCCAGGTGGCAAATGCCTCGGTCTCCAGCCTCTCTGCTCGCCGTGGGACGTGCTGCTATACACGACACCAGACCTGGACATGTCGGTGCGTCCGCTGCTGCCGCCCCCGCCCCCCATACCCCCTGTTCCTGGGCAAACCCCCGCTGAGAAGGAGAAAGAGGTCAAGGAGGAGACTAAAGGTTAGTATTCATTATTTATTCATTCATTTGTTTTGCTGGCTTTTGTTTCGATAGAGATAGAGCAGGGTTTCTCAAACTTTCGGCTCCACGAGCCCCTGTTAAAGTTTCCAGGGGACAGCGAACACCTTAACTTGCTATTTCAATTTGAGCTTTATGACCAAATACTAGCTTTTGCCCAAGGCTTCACTCGCGTGAAATTTAGTTTGTCACAGATAGTCATAAATTATAGCCTATATGTATTCTGGATTATAAATAATAATACCTACTGTAAAGTTTCATTATAATCCGTTCAGTAGTTTTTGCGTGAAAAAGTAACAAACATCCAGACATCCACAAAAACTTTCGCATTTATAATATTAGTAGCATTAGACTCTAAATTGCGTTGTTACCTTACATGCAAACGCTCCTTTAGATTTTTCTTTCACAGACAAGTAGAAAAGTGATGCCAAAAACTTTCGGTCAGACTGACCATAAATGTCATAAAAGAATTGAAAAATATCATTGTTTAAAAAGAATTGAACAATATCATTTCAGAACTAAATAACATCAATCATTTCAGAACCAGAGAAAAAAGATGAGAAGCGTCGCGTGCTCCTAATCGCGTGCGCCGGCTCGCACCAGATTTGGGCTCTGTTCCTTGACACCACCATCTGGTGGAAATACAAGACGTTCACTGAGGGTATGTATATGGAATTTCTACAATAGGCTAGATGACAAAATTTCAATTATTTGTCCGTCAGACAGATAATTAGAAAATATTAGACTCATATTTTTTATTTTCTTTCATAATTAAATAATAACAGTGCTACATCGAGTTAAAATGGCGCGATACGTCACGCTTGAGTAGAATTTTTACTCAAAAGTGACGTCACGCGACATTTTAACTCAATATATAGCCTGACCAGGAACATAAAAACCCTGGCATAGAGGCGCGACAATTGCATTTGATAGTGCAACACTGAGTACAGTCGTACCTGTGTTAAATGAATTGGCTAATTTTATGTATCAGGATTCAGGATTACGGGCGAATTTGATATTTTCATAAATTAACCATAAAATATTATTATAGGTAACCTGGTTTAAATAAATTAAATGAAACCATCAATCGAGCTAGTAGGATTTATTTTATTAATCATGAATAATCAAATTCAGAACTTGAATATTCAACTGCAATTTGTCTGCTCATGAACGCATAAAACTCAGTACTTCTTTCCCAATTCCATAAAATTCAACACTTAGAAAGTGACAAAAAAATTTTAAAATAGATAGTTGAAACAAACCACAGCTAATTTTCATAGTGGACTGTACTATACGATAAACATGTCAGTCAATTTGACAACCTTTGTCGGAAACATTATTCAATGAAAATATTGTCCGAACCATTAGTATTTCTCTTCGACAAATACTTCAACACATTATGAACCACTTTTCTTTCACGACTATAAAAAGATTTTAGCAATTTAATTCACAAAATCAACTGCGCACATCTATATATATAAAAATGAAACCCGTTTCGCGTTGTCACGGCATCACGTGTGAACGGCTGAACCGATTTCGATAATTCTTTTTTTAAATGTTTGTGGAAGTCCAAGGATGGTTCTTACGGAAAAAAATATTAAGAAAATCTCTACGCTAAGGCCGTACGAAGTTCGCCGGGTCAGCTAGTTTAAAATAAAGTTTGTTTACACTTTGACAGCAATAGACTGACATGCAAGGTGACATGTCAATGAAGTTTTCAGTTACTGTTGCCATTAAAAGAAATTAGTACCATTATTTTTCCGCAACATGGCGAGGGTTTTTATGTTCCTGGTCGGGCTATAATACTGTAATGTAATTATTCGAGTATGGAAAAAAATAAAAAATATGAGCCTGATATTATCTAATTATCTGTCTGACGGACTAAATAGAATTTCGATTTCATTACCCAGTCATCATCATCCCTATTATTAGTAGTACTTGCACTTTACACCGCTAGAGTTCGTAGAATAAGCTTCTTATGTTGGGTGTAACAACTGAAATCAAGACTTCCAAGCCGTCGCAAGGATCAGTACCTCTAGTAGGAAAAACTTTCGAGTTCGTTTCGTTGCGTATTCAAATTTACTGTAAATTTAGAGGTACTGTAGCCTTATTCACGTAAAACTTCAACGACAACAAATCGGTGAGTTGCGATCCTATCAAGTAATCGTTCTATCGAAATGACCCTTGTGAATACGGATTTAATTAGAACTGTTGTTCAATGGGACGACGTACAAAACTTCAACGACGACAAATCGCTGAGTTGCGATCCTATCGAGTAATCGTTCTATCGAAATGACCCTCGTGAATACGGATTTAGAACTGTTTTTCAATGGGACGACTTCAGAATGTCAGCGAGATTTTCTGTGTCAAAATACGTGAATTAGGCCACTGACTTGTCTCAATAAGACAGACTAACGTGTTTTCCGAAGCACAGAATTCGAATCCATTACACGACCTGTAAATCAGGAGACTCTAACTCTAACTACTTGTTCACGGCACCTTAACCTACAGCTTTTATATTATTTAAGACTTATTTAAATTATTATACTTAATTAAAGGTTTGGCATTCGCGTGGTAAAGTATCAGTAAACATTGCATGCTAGATTTCCCCAATTAGTTACGTTTTATTTAAAATTATTTCATGAAACTAAGACAGCAGTAGCCAATTAGTTGTCACAGTAATGAGCCATTGAGTTTTGTCATANGTTACACCGTACTATTATAGCATGGAACGACAAAGCCAACGAGGCATTTAAGAAGTGTAAGGAGAGCTTACAAAGCGCCGCTACACTTCATTACCCGTTACCCGATGCGGAGTTATCGCTTATGNCTTAACAATATTCAACAGTTGCGTGTTGGATAAATACGTTTGATGATTTTATGTTCTCGATTGTATCAATTTATATTGGAAGTAAATCAAGAATAATATAGATTTTTCTAAACTTAAATATTTTACACGCTCAAGACCCGAACTCTAACCTAGGTAATTTAGTTTTCATAAAGGCAGTTTTCATAAAGTGACCGACATAGCTCGCAGAATTGCTAAAATCAAGTAGCAGTGGGCGGGGCACATAGGCAGGCCTCCTACTAAGTGGACCGACGATCTGGTTAAGGTCGCGGGAAGAGCCTGGATGCGGGCAGCGCAGGACCGTGCATTGTGGAAAATCTTGGAGGAGGCCTTTGTCCAGCAGTGGACATCATTTGGCTGAAACGAACGAACGAAAGGCAGTCAGTCAGTGCGGCAAGCGACGCTCTTCTTAGGATACGCTATTGAGCAATGTCACACTCCCAGGCCCATATAGTCCGACATAGTTGCCAGTTCTTAGAACGTAAATACGCGTTCGAACTTTACTGAAAAGAACAAAATATAATATTATTTATTGCTATTTCTCTGTACAGTATCTCATCTCATAGACTTGTCGTCAGATTGTTTTGTTAACTATTGTTAACTTATCTATGTCCCATTTTACGCAGGCACGTGCGTATGTATAGCCGGGTCTGGCGCAGAAGCAGCGCGGAATAGCGCCTACCCTCACACGGCGTCGTTCGCGCAACCCTCGGGACTGGCACTGAAGACTGGTAAGACTGGTAATACACCAAGCAATAGGCATGGTAGTCATTTAGTGTATGTTACGAGTTTTATAGGTAGAAAAATATAGTCCACCCCTATTATTATTTTCGATACTTGACGTTTGTTTTAAATTATATTATGATCCATTGGTGGTTAATCAAACAAAAAAATATTGATCCTACTGTTTAAATATAGCCTGACCAGGAACATAAAAACCCTCGCCATGTTGCGGAAAATTAATGGTACTAATTTCTTTTAATGGCAACAGTAACTGAAAACTTCATTGACATGTCACCTTGCATGTCAGTCTATTGCTGTCAAAGTGTAAACAAACTTTATTTTAAATGTGCGCAATTGATTTCGTGAATTAAATTGCTAAAAACTTTTTATAGTCGTGAAAGAAAAGTTTCCGACAAAGGTTGTCAAATTGACTGACATGTTTATCGTATAGTACAGTCAACTACGAAAATTAGCTGTGGTTTGTTTCAACTACCTATTTTAAAGTTTTTTGTAACTTTGTAAGTATTGAATTTTATGGAATTTGGAAATGAGTACCGAGTTTGAAGCGTTCATGAGCAGACATTGTAGTTGAATATTCAAGTTCAGAATTTGATTATTGATGAATAATAATAAAATCCTACTTGCTCGATTGATGGTTTCATTTAATTTATTTAAACTAGTTTACCTATAATATAATATTTTTTTGTTAATTTATGAAAATATCAAATAAGCCTGAATCCTGATACATAAAGTTAGCCTATTAATTTAATACGTACGACTGTATCCAGTGTTGCACTATCAAATGCAATTGACGCGCCTCTATGCCAGGGTTTTTATGTTCCTGGTCAGGCTATACAACAATTTTTCTAGACGAACATTATATTATTATCCAATTTGATGTTAGTGGTCTTAGGGAAAGTTGTTGCATTTTAGCAGTAATTTCAATACCTTTTGTTTGATTACCCGCTATTATCATTCTGTATAATAATCACAAAAATAGGAGGTTTAATTTTTTGGTTTACAACACTACCACTGCTTCGCATAATAATAGATGACAAAAACAGCTCGAAAAGCTCTTGTATTGGTAGCAGTAGTTTAGTAATGAATGTGCTCTAGACTTAGCGTTTTAAACTCATATTTTTACGCAGGTTTAAACCCAGAAGTGTTCGTCGCCGATTCAGAGAGCTCGTCCATCAGGAGGATAAGCTTGTCCACCGGGCAAGTGTCCACCCTATGCGGCGGTGATCGAAACCCCATGGTAAGATTTTGCTTCATTTAATCTATCTATACTAATATTATAAATGCGAAAGTAACTGTCTTTCTGTCTGTGTCGCTTTCACGCCTAAACCATTGAACCGATTTTGATGTTTGACATAGAGATAGTTTGAGCCCCGGGAAAGTACATAGGATAGTTTTTATCCCGGTTTTTGAAACAGGGACGCGCGCGATAAAGTTTTTCTGTCACAGACAGAATTGCACGTGGGCGAAGCCGCGGGCGGAAAGCTAGTATTTAATATTTAATTCTGCAGAGTCAGATATTTTCGAGCAGTGTTATCTTGTGCCCATTTTGGTTAAGACTAATTCATACAATATACTTGGCACAGAATCTCTTCGCATTCGGCGACGTCGACGACATCGGCGTGGAAGCGAAATTCCAGCATCCGCTCGGCATCGCCTACTGTGAGTCCAACAGAACCCTATACGTCGCGGACTCCTACAACCACAAGATCAAAAAGGTCGAGGTCGGCCCGCAAAAGGTCACCTCCCTCAACCCTACAAAAATCGAAACAGTTGACCCCGCCAAGTTCAACGAACCCTCCGGTCTCTCCGTCACCGCAGACGGCAAGTACATATACATAGCTGACACCAACAATCACAGCATAAGAATCCTGAACCTCGTCAAAAACGTCTGCCAAGACTTCAAAGTTCGGATGCCCGACTACAAGTTCGTCGAGCCGGAGAATTTGATTCTGTACAAGAACGATCTATTCGTGAACAGGAAGTGCGGCCATCTGATAATCTACTTCAATGTTAGCCTAGACTCGGATATACGGAACGTGAAGTTCACGCCGGGCGCGCCACAAGATTGGCGCGTGTGCGTGAGAGACGAAAACGATAAGGACGTGACGTTGGACGACTTTGAATTCGTCGGATGCTCGCACAAAGGCACAATTCTACCCGGCCGCGTCGAAATGAAAATAAAGCAGAAAACTGACAAAACGCACTACCGATTGTACCTAAGCTTCCACACGTCGCTCTGCGATAACTCCGTCTGCTTCGCCCATTCATTCACAATTCGCTCCACAATACTCATCAGAGACTCGGTCAAGATGGTCGAATCTTACAAGATCACGTGCAAGGTCAACCCGGTTAACCGGCCAGAGAAAAACTGACGTTTAGCTAAACCCAAACCGGCACCGAATAAGTAAATGCTTACGCGCACGCAACTCGTGGTGCCAAATCGTAAGCGAAAGAGTTTACTTATTTACTTTAGTATACCAAATTATTGTTAAACTTGAAGGCTTTATCTTAGCAATTTAAAATATACCAAGTAGGTAGCTAACAGAATATGTAATGCACATTTATTTCTACTAACTTAGCTCACTCACTAATTTTAAGTTTAATGCGTAAGTTAATGTTGTTTTGGTGTAATATTTTTATACGAATCTTAGTTGTTATTTTATGTCTAAGCAATAAATATTTTACATAAAACTTAACGTATATTAGTGATTGCATCTTCCAATAGCTCATTTATTTGCGAAAGCTTAATTATCATAGGTCAAATCTAATTATGTGGCCAAATTGTATAAAAGGACGTAACTGCAGTATTAAAACGAGATAAATGTTTACGTTTGTCACGTGTAGTATTACGTGGGATATAATATCCACAAGGTTCTTCAAAGTAAATAAATTACATGAAAAACTGTTGTGAAATAAATTTAATCGACTCGACTTTGAATGAAAGCATCTCTGACATTTGGAAATAAGTAAATCACGGGCTTAATTCGCCGCGATCCGTTAAAGTTAATTGAAAACATAAATAAGTTCATGATTGCGGTGACCTCCAGCGAGGCCGGCTTATATTTGCACGCTTACACGTCATAGTTCAAAAGTTACGATGAGCCGTTTAATTACACCAGTTTAACACTAATCTTGCTTGCGGTGGGGGCTCGGCTAGAAGTACTTCACCAAAACCTTTTTTACAAGTAAACTTTTTTATTAGCAAAAAAAGGTTCCAAAAGCGTTTCACGACCAGTACAATAATTCTGAGGTCACTAAAATATATAAAAAAATAATAATCTAAAAGCTAGTAGGTTACTCATAAACACCGTACAATTTATTTTATGTATCTTTCGTCAACATAAATTGTAAATCTAGAAGACCCAGAAAAGTTTAAATTCGTGCCTAAAGCGTCGTTATTCTTTTAAATATGCAGATCTTCAACAGAAGTGTAACCGACCTATATTTTAATAAGTCTTACTACCTGCTGTTAATACAAGCGTGATCGTGCTTTAATCCGACAATGTCTAACGCCCTGAAGGCCGTTAAATAAATCACGGCGGGCGCATCCATTCGCGAGACCCTGGATATTAATAACTGCACAGAACAGCACTAAGCTGTGAAGGAGATTTCACGGTGACATTGCATTGCTGCAAAATGACATACAGCTATAAGTAGGTAGGTATAATATGGAAAAGGGCCTAGTATAGACCCCTGCCGAATACCTTTTCTTTTCACGAAATAACACATCGATAAAATGAAACTAGTTAAGTACATTCACTCATCATCATTATGTGTCTACTCGACCGCCAAGTATCAATTTCTTCATTGTTAAAAATTGAAGTTGCATGTCTTGATGGCACGGTTTTTTTGTAATCCTATGATGTTTTTGGGATTTTGATAATTCTTCTGTTTTAGGGTGGTATGTTGTATGAAAAAAGAATTTGCGTAAAAATATATCGATAACATGTACATCACTAGTAGCTCATTTGCATTAGTAAGTGCTGGAAATTAGAACAGCGGCCTTACCGTCTAATGTCGATGCTATATTACTGACTTCGATTAAGTTACATCATATACCTAAACGAACATCCGGTACACCGCATCAAAATAATTACTTATAGCGTTCTGCAAAAATAAATGGAGAGGATTAATATTGTAGCTTTGGTTATATTTGCATCCTAAAACAGTAAAGTTGGAGTTATCTTTATGGCCCACCATAATTATGAAATAATCGACGGACTTGCCAAGCAAATGGCGTATTAAGAAGATCCAATAATAAATGAATATTTGGCGCAGTGCTGATGGGAGCAATATCTCGAAGTTGAAAGACAGGTCCTTGCTAAATTGGAGGGAAAGAAAACAAGATAGCTAACGCGGTAAGTTCTTAAACAAATGTCATTGGAAATAGGGAAGGAATATTACATAATATGATTACAATTTATTTGCTCATTAAGGTAACACAAATATCAAGTCCCTCATAATTTTGTCCAAGAACCCGTTGTTTCCCATAGTAGTGATATTAAAGCTCAGATTTGGGCTTATAGTGATATAAAATGTGATGAGGTTTTTTTTCTTTGATTATACTGAAACGTGCTAGGCAGCAGGTAAAAGATTGTCAAGCTTAAATAGCTTGAAATAGTGTGCAGCTTTACGTTCGATCACTGTATAAATATTTACCAAACAGAAGCGATCTATGCAACAATAGTCTCGATGCAAATTATGTACTTACCACGTCCATTGTTCGAGAGTGCAAGGACTTGGATGTCCAATAGATTTTAAGTAGGTGCTGTTCGGTTTGAATTCCAAGTAAAACAATGAATATGCCACATCTATACGTTATCCTTAATACGAATATTAAAAGTAAAAACAACTAAAGTTTCCTATTACAATCGGGCTATAAATATTTTTTTTTACAAAATCGCACTCATAAACTTACTGCTCCCGTCGTTCCTACGTACTTGTATTTCACTGCCTAGATGGTTGATTTTAATCTCAATAATAACTCAGGACAGCACGTATAAGTTTCTTACAGACAATGTAGGTACTTAGGTAACATTAGTTATAGATTTCGTTAAGTTTCTAAGTACGAACTACGAAAACTCTACCTAATAACGAAAGTTACATTGTCTAGACGCAATTAATGTCAGCGCTTAATATAATCTTAATTATTGCGGTTATTCAAAGAATGCGGTAACCTGCGTATCGCCAGCCCCTAATCCAATTTATTTTTGTCCAACAATCTCGTTTGAGATCCCTACTTAATTTAAAAAATGGTCAATGAACCGCGCGACCTTGGCCTGGCTTAAATTGTGCTAAAAGCTAAAAGCAAGTGCATAACAAAAGGTAAGTGCATAACCTCATTCAGACTGTTTGTGACCTTTCTGAAAACCACAAACTTAAAGATGACGAAGAAGCGATGCTCCATAGACTAGCGTGCTTGATCACTTATTGTTATAGTTCCAAAATACTGGACTGTCCTATCGATGACATTGACAGTGGGGCGCCACCGTCAATACCGGATCGCTGGTTCAGATTTTTGCTATGTTGGAAACCATATAGTTGAACGATGGTAGCGCCCCCCTGTCATTGAGTTTGGCGGGACAGTTCAGCGTGGGCCATCTATATAATGATCGTGAACATAAAATATGTTATCTATCGCAAAGCCAAGCCAAAGCCTGCTCACTCAAATAATTTGTGATTTCCTTCGGAAAAGCACACACACACGTGTTGCTAATATTAAAAGTTGTTATTGGGTTTTCAGATAGCGAGGTTTTTAATCCAAACAAAGTTCTACCTGGACAAATCTGTTTCGTCTTCTTCTTCTCATTCATCACAATATGATGATCTTGGTCGTCAGGGGTATGATTGTTGTGGGCATATGTCCTTACGATGTCTCGCCATCCTTGCTTGTATGAACGATGAAAAAGCTCGAATAGAGAAATCGGAGTTCCTAATGTACAAAGCCATTGAGAATTTCATACTCTGCATTTACCTATCTCTGGATTGTTGTATTAATTCGAGAGTAGATTTTCCAAATATTGCATCCCATGTCTACTTTTTTTTTTTTTCAGGTAGTATTTCATTATTTCGAGAAACCAGGCGTTGTTATCTGGTGCTTGTATCGCAATTGATGTCTGTGTCTAAAGTGATCCCTGAGTTCACAAGCGGGCTAAGGTCGGCACAGTCATTACCGCATCACCTCGCCCAAAACAATCGCGTCGTGGGATGTCAATTAGACCCTTTGCGATCGTGCGTTAGACAGCTATTTTCTATAATCACGGGTACGTATTAACGATAATGCTGAATTTGAAATCGAGGATCTTGAATAAAGGTAGACTTGTGGCTAATGCAACGTGAATTCAATGACTCATTTACAAAATAACTACACATTGTTGAAAAAAAACGATGACCACCCATATTTTATGGTAACAATCTCAAATTTCACCAAACGGAGCTACTCGAATATACCTACCTACTACGACTGCTATAAGCAATACAGAAATAAGATTTACAGTTCTGTCAATGCTGATGTTTTTGTAACATTACATTGATTCATGAGATCCAAGCATTCCAGGAGGTGTGATAAGTAGACTAGTGTTCGTCTTATCCACAATGAAAATTGCTTATTTATTGCTTTCAACCGTAGCCATATCCATGCTGAAAACCAGAGATAGATAACAAAGTTTTACCATAATAGGTTTTACATAGTTAGACCTATGTAAAACAGACGAGTAATTGATTATGTGCGAGCGTGCGATCTGATGTCTGCGAGTCATTCGTCCAGTCAAGGCCTATTTTTCTATTGGCATGCGATGTCCGTACTCGATCGAGCTCTAATGCAATGCCCGGTGCATTCTACACGAGTGCAGGTAAATGTTTCCTCCAGTTGCAGCAGAGGTATTTTGATAAAAAGCTTTGTAATAATAACGTGATAAAAGTAGAGGCCTCGAGCAAACTTTGGAGGATCGGTGGCTCTATGGGGCAAGAGGGTAGGGTTGGCGAGGGCTATTTTGTCTACAGTTTGAATGACTACTTACGCTACTTTCAGCTAGACCACATGATCAATTCTGCTGACTGGTGGTGATAAACCAAAATCATCTATCACGATCAATTGCATTTTCTACGACATTCTGTGCATATTTTTCGTTCTTTGGCTCTTTAAGAGACCCTCTAACTAGATAGTGTGTCCAGTCTATAGTTTTGAAACAGCGTTTGACTTTGCATCTTAGTCCAGTCCCATAAATTGTGAATCATTGCGATGATCTTATTAATATCACGATGAGTCATTCCATTGTTAGCCCAATTCGCATGGATACAACAACCAACTCTCTCTAAGAATCCTTTGGGGGAATACAAGACTTCTCAAAATAATATAATGTTTGACTCAAGTAGGTATTTACGCCCGTATTCACAAAAGATGCTTGCTTAAGTGAGGCATCAAATCGAACGCACAGCGTTGAATAGAGCTTTGTGATTGGTTTGTGTGTCACGCTGTGCGTCTACGCGCACTGTGACTCCGTATAGTAATGTTTGTGAATACGGGCGTTAAACAC